TTGCCCCCAATCGCAGGGGTGTCTTTGACGGATGGCCGCGGGCTTCCAGGCTGGCCGATTGTTTGCCGGATCCTCTGAAATATGACTTTGCCCCCGGCGCCGGGGCCCGGCTTGCACATTCGTATTTTAAACGTTTGCGCTCTGACAGCGTGTTTAACAGATCCCCTTGATGAAAAGCCACCATCCTGAGCGATGTGTTGGGCGCTCTTGGATCATATCTGCTCTCTTCGGAGGACAGGGAATGCCACTCATCAAACATGGACGCTACATGGTATTAAAGCAGCGTCTGCTTCTCCAAGACGGACAGAAGGCATATCCCATATCCCACAATCCACCTCTATCCAGGGTTCCGTATCCCAGAAGCAGGGGGTGTCTCTCAAAACCAAGAATGCAACAATCGAACCCGTGGTCTTGGCAAGACCGGTCTTGCTAACTTGCCTCCCAAGAACGAACTTGCTGTGCAATGAATCATGGGATTGATTTAATTTGGCATGGATGCAATGATGTATCCTTCATATGTGAGGCGGTGCAAGAACGACATTGGGAGATTTTTACCGTCTTCTGTACTTCTGTTCTTGAGTATTGGTACTGGTCTTCGATGACACAAGAACACAAGTATGGTCAAGCACGCATATTGAGCGACACCCATGGTTAAGACTACTTTGGCCTCTGATTGGTCAGTGTAGATCAGCTGACTGAGCAGTATCTTGGAGGTGGAAGGGCATTAACAATGAACCCCATGGCCGGGAGGAGGGTGATTTAAGGCAGCTGCTGTATGTTTAGAGAGCACTCTCTTATTCATCTAATTCAGTGTGTTTCCCATGAGTAAGAGAGTGTTAAAATATAAAGACAAAAACAGTGAAACTCCTCGGCCCAAGCTGCCTCTGCACCCCCAGGACTGGGCCACTGCTCTGTTACGAGGGCGAGGAGGACGCGAGGAGCCTCTGGCAGACAAGACCTCCTTCAGATCTCCGGCCAGCTGGCTCTCCCTCCTATTTAACGTGAGCTTTATGGATTTTGCACTAATGAGGAATTTCGTCCTGCTGGCGGGGTGACTTATCATACATAAGAGGGACCATGAGGGCAATTAGAGCTGGACTGGCTCTGGAGGAGCTGCCTGCTGTCTTGCCGATGACAGTGGCGAAGGCCTCCTCCCCCCCCCCCCCCCCCCACCACCACCTCCACCTCCATCTTATCCTACCCAGTGTTCATCTTCATCTACCACGTTTTAAATGTCTTTTTAAGTAAATCGTTTCAGCTTTTTCACAGTGTCTTTATATTAAATGGAGAAATTCTCGTTCCAAACTTGTGCATGTAAGCCCTGATTAAAGGCCGCCTGCTCTCAGCCTGTGATGTCGTGGTGTGAGGTCACAGCATCATGGGACTGAAATGAGGTCATCACGCTGCCCCTTCTTCGCATTTAAGCTATAAGGGTGTGTGTGTGTGTGTATGTGTGTGTGTGTGAGGACAATTTGATCCTCACATTTGAGGACCAAATTGTCCCCAAAATGTAGTAAAACCTGAAATTTCTCTACTTTTGGGGACATCTTTTGAGGTCCCCATTTGGATAACCTCAATTTTATAAAAAAAAATCTGTGAATGTAATCAAAAAAGTAAATATGCCAAAAGTCTTGTATTTGGGTTGGTTACTTATGGTTAAGGTTAGGGATGGGTAGAGGTTAAGGGTGTCATTATTGGGATTAGGGTTTTCCCATAGAAGCGAATGGACGGTCCCCAGGAAGACCAACTTGTGTGTGTTTGTGTTTGTGGATTAGTTTTATATTACATTGTAGGGACCAAATGTCCCCCACAATGTAATAAAAACCTGTTATTTTGATGTTGTGGGGAACATTTTTCAGGTCCCCACAAAGATCTGACAATGCAATAAAAACACAAAAAATGCCAGCTCACATGTAGTCCAGGTTTGACAGGGGGGTGGAGATGCCGATCGATACGGACCTCTCTGCTGGCAGGGTCTAATTGCGACCAAATGATGTCTCATCTCCTCCATGATCCCCAGACAGATATACAAGGTGCACTCTGATGTCATCCTGTCCTACGCTGTGTACAACTGGCAGCTCCAAGTGGATCTGTCTGCAGAGCACTGGGAGACCTCCACTGTGGGGATGGAAATCAAGTGACACACATGGCCCGGACATGACGTTATGCAAACTCAAAATCACATTGTGATATGACGTTAGCGCAACATTGGGATCTGACATTAGTGGAGGTGGCCCAGCATTCTGCAGCCGGACACTTCTTATCAGGTCTCCTTAGTATGCTCTCAAAAAGTGAAAAAGGGCATTTTCATGGGACCTCATCAGCAGATGTTGGATATGGTGTGTGGCTCAGTGGGTAAGGATGGTGTCCCTGTAATCAGAAGGTGGTTCAAATCTCCTGGTTGGCAATAGTGATTTCACTATTGGGCCTCTGAGCAAGTTCCTTCACCTCCAATTGCTCCAGGGACTCTCTGGCCCTGCTTTCTCATTTGTATGTTGCTTTGGATAGAGGCATCTGTGAAATATGTACAAATGCAAAGCAACTTGACTGAGTCACAGTGAGGCACCTGTCAAACTCCTGAGTTTGCTACACCCAGCCGCATGACCATGCTGAAGTTGACGAGTCATGAGTCATTTTGGAACACATTTGAAGACTAGTGAACTTCTGAATAAGGTTGCTTGGTGCCCCCCTGCCCCCACACACACCCCTGTTGCTTTGCACCGCCGGTCAGCAGAGCAGTGCGCATGGAAAGGTCCGGGCTGTGAAAACGCTTCAAAGGTCATGCAGCTGCTCGTCCATAACAAGCACTCCACGAACTACGAGTCTATCAGCTTTCTGGGGCCGCTTCTTCACTGTCTCTAATGCTTTCATATGCATAGTAATGGGTTTCCAGGACATAATTACTTCCTGTAATTGCTCAGGATGGGAGGGCAATAGGGGTTAATTCCAGGTGAGGAGAATTACGCTTTGCTAGTGGGCGCTACGTGGAGAGCATAGCCTCGTAAAGAGGCGTCGTGTTTCGCGCTCTCCTGCGCGTCACCCCAATGCAGCGCCGCTGACTATGTGTCCATAGTCAATTAGCAGAGCGGCAGAAATTGCTGTATCGTACCCATGGTAACAATCACACCTGCCGGTTATAGCCGGTGAATTATCCTGATGACAGAGTTAATGTGCGTACCTGTCATCGGCAGACACCTTTGAGATGGAGGGGGGGCGTCACCGGCAGCTTTACGGAGGACGCCCCATGAGAGCATTTCCAGCGTAATATAATGAACGGGAACTCAATCAGAGCTCATTTAGGCTTCCCTCCTGCCCTGAGAAGCGGGACGCGTGCCTAACATGGTAGGTCGCTAAATACACAAATCTGTGCAGAAATACGGATGGAGGCGGGATGCAGGAGATTCTCAGCAATGCGGTTTGTGACGGTCGGCTAGGCGTGTTCCTGCTCCCGCTACATGCACAGTAACGGGGGCATTTGACTCTCACATGCCGCTGTTTCCACCCACACGGGACCATGTGGAGCGTATGTCACAGTGCGACCCGCGAGGGATGGCATGGCACACGGGCGCGTGGCGCTCACGCACGGAGGAAGAGCACCCACACAATCCCACACAGAACACGCTAACTTCACATGGGGGCCTGGGACCGATTTCCATTTCTGCTGGAGCACTGAAAGGACAGGAGAGCCTCATTAGCCCATTATACCTGTCGGATTCATGGGTAAAGTGAGAAGCCATAAGCTGTGCAGTGACAGTGTACAGACAGCTGGGGAGGACCTCAGCATCATTTCCCCCCATAACCTGTTCATGCTCCTCCCCCAACCCTGTCCATGCTCCAACCACACTCTGCCCATGCTGTACCCACACCCTGCCCACGCTCCGCCCACACCCTGTCCATGTTCCTGCCACACTCTGCCCATGCTGTACCCACACCCTGTCCATGCTCCTCCCCAAACCCAGTCCATGCTCCACCCACATCCTGTCCATGCTCCACCCATATCCTGTCCATGCTCTGCCCACATCCTGTCCATGCTCCACCCATATCCTATCCATGCTCCACCCACACCCAGTCCATGCTCCACCTACATCCTGTCCATGCTCCGCCCACATCCTATCCATGCTCCACCCACACCCTGTCCATGCTCTGCCCATATCCTGTCCTTGGCTCACCCACGTCCCGCCCAAATGCCACACATGCTCCACCCATGCCCCATCTAGCTGCCCCAATCTCAGGGTGTTATGAGAAGAGCACGAGTGCTTGAGTGGCACAGAGAATTTGGAGACCCTCTGGAGATGCTAATGGGGCAAGAAGACAGAGCTCTCAGGGACACTTAAACAGGAAGGTGCCTTTGTTCATCCTCTTCTGTCGTGCTTACATGACCCTCACGGGCATTTATCTATATTTTTTCCTGACTGCGAATCACCAGCAGGAGACCTTCACACAAATGTTCACACAGGTGCACACACAGACTCAAATGAAGCTGTAACACCACGCACACACATACACACACACACACACACACATATACACACACATACCTATCACCTGTTATCATTCCTGGGATCAGGTCTTTGCTAATGAGGTATTGATGTTACGCGAAAGGACTTGTCTCACCACATTCAGCGCCCCCTACTGGATGGGAGAATCCAACATTATGGATCAGGGTTTATTTGAGGACAGCCTGGCCATGATGACCTCTGTAGCTTCAGCTACTTAAGAGTTTGTAAAGCCGTGGTTCATAAAAACTCCCCCAGGGGTCAGCATGCACTTCTAAGGTTTTTCTATGTTTCCATTTTACCTTTTCAAAGTTCATGGGGGGCATTTTCTACCATTTCCCTGGGTCTCTCCATCTTCTCGTATCTGCGGGCATGAAGCTCTGGCCAGGCTGTGGCGCAGATCAGGACCATCTCCGTAACACAGGCATTTCAGCAGCTGTCAGAGTCGGTCCATTCATAATTACATGCTCACGGTTGACCTTTAACCCCCTCCCCGCCCCCCAGGCATGCCGCTCAGCCTAGAATGCAGAGCCTTTTTCGGCTACAGCGGGGAGTCCAGACCAATCATCTACTGGATGAAGGGCGAGAAGTTTGTGGAGGAGCTGGAAGGACACATTAAGGAGAGCGAAGTAAGGTACGACTGGCCCTTCACCCACAGTAGTGTGTGTCGGGGCACGCGGGCCCCCCATCAACGTGTCAGATCATGATGGACTGCGCAGGTCCAGGTACCTGACCCCCATGTGCTGAATTTTATTACGTGACCCCTTTGTTTTACGAGTTTAATTTCCCCATTACTGATCTACTGCGTTTCATCTACTGATACTTAAAAGATGGAGTCCATTATCGCTATTTTCATTTGATTAGAAAGATATGTTCCCCCATCATGGGTCATTGTTACATGTCGACGTGCGGCTCAGAACTCCACTAAATTAGCATCAATCAGCTACTCATTTAATTATTGTTATATAAGCCAAATACTTAATTGATGGTAATTACATCTGACGATTTAATAATGTATAGCTGAGAAATTAAGAAAAGAATAAGAAACATTTCTCCGTATCAGAATTAAGAAAATGAATCAGTACAGTCTAACGAATCCAAAGGAACAGTATCCAGCATGATCACAGGGGTCCTCGTGCAAAACATGACATCTTACAAGCAAAACACAGCCTGGGCAATCGTGTAATGATAGCCCCTCCCGTCCACACCCCACGTGCTTTCCCCACAAGTATGCACACTCACAGAGTCTGAAATGAGCCCCACACACGCAGCTCCCCCCACCCCACGCCACACTCAAGACGGAGACGCGGCACCGGGGAGCGAGTCTGATACAGGCAGGCTTCAGGGCAGCCGTGTCGAGGTCCGCCAGCCCTCGGTGAATGCAGAACAACTCCGGGGGGGGGAGGGGGAGGAAGAAAAAGAGCATCTCCAAGCCCCCGGACAAAATGCCGGCCATTTTTCACAAGGAGAGTGGCTTTAAAATTCAAGTGTGGGGTGGCCAGGTCAGGACAGCGCTGTAAAATACAGAGACCTAGTTTTCCTGAGGATCGGCAAAGAGCTGAGGGAGACAGGGAGTGTGTGTGTGTTTAAGGGAGAGCGAGGGGGCGTGTGTGTGTGTGTGTGTTTAAGGGAGAGCGAGGGTGTGTGTGTGTGTGTGTGTGTTTAAGGGAGAGCGAGGGTGTGTGTGTGTGTATGTGTGTGTTTAAGGGATAGCGAGGGGGCATGTGTGTGTGTGTGTGTATGTGTGTGTTTAAGGGATAGCGAGGGGGCATGTGTGTGTGTGTCTGTCAGTCTGTCTATGTGTGTGTGTCTGTCTGTCTGTCAGTCTGTGTGTGTGTGTGTCTGTCAGTCTGTCTATGTGTGTGTGTGTGTCTGTCTATCTGTCTGTCTGTCTGTCTGGGTGAGGGTGGGGGGGTAATGGCTGATCCGGATGTGCCAGTCTCATCCTCCCCCCCCTGATGTTGCACCAGCTCCACGTCATGGCTAATTTCCAGCATTACACATGGGGGTGGCAGACAAATTGAGGCGTTACGGCGGCATTCTGAAGTTTCAGCCTCACTTCCCACCAAACCCCCCCTCCCACCCTCCAGCCACCCATGTCAGTTCAACAAAGGATAAATTGCCATCCCTCCTCCACGCTGGCCAGGCCCATCAATCTGTTACCATAGCGATGACAAGCAGCTCACCCCTCCCTGGGATCCCACTCCCCCCAGGACACGGACGATGGGGGGTTTGTCCCACGGCTGATGGCCACCAATCCCTGCCCAGCATGGCATGCTGGATGGACATCTGCCCAACAGGGGGCAGGCTTCACCTTAAGCCACACACGGATAGCCTAAGTGGCTCTTGTTAACTGCTGTGTGAAAAGCTGCCCCCCCCCCAAAACACACACATGTTGGTATAGCCCTCTTCAATAGGCTGTCTCAAGCACCATTTTATTGTAATTATTATAATATTGTAATATGGTAAATAATGACCCCCCACTAATCTCATGTTGCTAGATTAAAGTTCTGTGCACATTAATAGTGTGTTACGCACCAGGTGAAGTTAAAAAGGGTGTTTCTATATTAGCCACTACTTTTCAGGGCTTTTTGTGAAAGTGGAAATGACAACATATGCATTTGAACATGCAAACCACACAAACACGCGTAAACAAAAACACATGCGCTGTTACGGACTGATCTCCAGGGCGCCCCCCACAGGCCCAAAGGGCACTCTTCTGTCTAACAGTAATAAGACAGGCTGGAAGCGTGAACCTTAAAACAGAGAAGGGACTGGGCAAGTAGAAAGGAATACAGGGATGTGGGAGTACTGCCCTCTAGTGGTTGGAGGACTCTTCACAGACCCCATATCAGTTCTTGCATCTCTACCAAGGCTGCTGTCTCCCCTCCTGTCCACTGCAGGGTCCTCAAGGAGTTCCTGGGTGAGAAGGAGGTGGAGCTCTCACTGACCTTTGACGCGGTGGAGGAGACCGATATGGGAAACTATACCTGCTATGTGGAGAACCACATCGGCCGGAGGCATGCAAGTGCCATCCTACAGAGGCGAGGTAAGCGGCTAGCCAGCAAGGTGGCGCTAATGAGCAGCCGTGCCTAATGTCTCAGGGGGGCAATGGGGGGGCAGTAAGATAGATGATCACATCTGAAACACATAAACACCTCTGTTATCCATCTGACACAGGACATCGGGGGGGTTACATGGGGACCACCGCTTCTCTGCCTCCCACTGGGAGCTGCACTGGTAATGGCCTCCCATTTTTAAATTACAGCACTAACAAACTGTCTGTTCTGTTTCGTTCTGCTGGATATTTCCCGATTCGCCTTGGGAATGAAGGACAGCCCCCGCTGTCTTCCTTAACTCACGCGCTAAAACAACGTAAACAAGTTATTTATACTGTCAGATTGTGCCGGGGGGGCAGAGCTACAGAGACCGCCGAGCATGCTCTCTGTGAGGCTTCACACGCGCCTCCTCTTCCTTCCTGAGCGAGGGCGACTCCAGACCCTCCTCATCGTCAGTCTGCTAAAGCCCGAGTCTGTGGGAGGGGGGGCAGGTCTACGGTACAATGAACAAGTGCAACACGTTCATTAGAGATGAATGAGAGGCGGGGGCTATCACGCATTGAACTGCCGGGTCGCTCTCGTTGTGTGTGGAGCCCCCTGCAGGATGTGACTGGGAATTGCATTGCTGTCCTCCAGTCACCGACTTGCTCAGATGAGAAAGACGGGCGGCTCCAGCCCGCTGGGCATGTCCCTGCCTCAGTGTGTCTTCATGGGCACTGATGCTTACAGCAATACACCGAGATCATGTACCGCGTCTCAATGTGCTCAGTGCGGCGTGGCCATGGACCTGTGCCTGAGACCTGGCGGGGGAGGGGGCATGTATATATTACATTCCAAATGTCCCCACAATGTTATTAATACTTGTTATTTTGACCTTGTGGGGACATTTTTTTGATACCCAATTTTATAAATATCCATGAATGCAATCAAACAATTAAACATGCCAAAAGTGTTGTATGCTGATTGGTAAGTTGTGGTTAAAGTTAGGGCTGGGTACAGGTTAAGGTTGTCATTGTTGGAATTAAGGTTTGTCCCATAGCAATTAATGGACAGTCCCCACAAAGATATGAATACAAACTTGTGTGTGTGTGTGTGTGTGTGCCTGTGAGTATGTGTGTCTCTCTATCTGTTTATGCGTGTGTGTCCCTGCACAGGGATTCATCTTGCCTGTCTGTGAGACACACACACACACACACACACACGCACAGCAACGGGGGTGATTTAATCGGCCCGTGTTTTTATGCAGTCCTGCATGTGCAGGCTGAGAGCCGTGATAGCAGCTCGCTTCTCCTTTTAAATGCGGCTCCGTATGAATTTTGACATTTTAGTTGGCATTTATTACACAGCATAACGAACGACAGTACAGAAACGTCCCTCCTCTGGGCACAGGGCCCCACTGCCGTAACACGCGCCTGTCATCAGGCCGCCGGGCTCCAGAGCGGGACTGGGGCGCCCCCTAGTGGAGAGCTGTCACCGTACTGTCTAATCTCCACTGCGGATCTAAACAAAAGGACGACGGCACAGGCAGAAAAGGTCGCAGGGCCTGTGAGGGCTGGACAGGAGTCCGATGTGTTGTTTTTACAATGTTCAGTGTGTTATTTCGCTCAGCACAATGCATCGTCACCCAGGGTCTCTACAAAGAGCAGAACGACCTTTTGGCATTAACAATGTGTGTGTGTGTGTGTGTGTGTGTGAGTGTGTGTGTGTCCATCGACTTAGGGTTTCATCCCGGAAGTGAGAACATCAGTCATTCTGGATATCTCGATCATTATTTGGAAGAGGTCAGACATACTGCATAACATTACTCACATTTAACTGAACCTCTACATTGGCAGAACAATCGGTTTGTCTTGGTTCTTGCCACATGCCGCACACGTGGAAAAATACATCCATTAAAGTCCACTGCGTCTGCTTTGGACGACTCCCGATGAATTCTGTTATGGGTCTTATGGGACGTTACTCGATAGGGCATAAGTCGATGGCTGTGTTTGGGAGACCCCCCCCAACTTGCCCCCCTTCCACACTGATCGGCGTCTCCGCCCCCACAGATGTGTACCGGCTGGAGCTGGCCGGCGGCCTGGGGGCAATCCTGCTCCTGCTGGGCCTCCTCAGCGCTATCTACAAGTGCTACAACCTAGACATCCTGCTGTGTTACCGCCGGCACTTTGGCAGCGAGGACGGCGAGGACGGTGAGCGGACCCCCATCCCAGGGCTCCAGAGCACGTCCGGCTGTGTGCTGTAGCTCTCCGCGGGAGGAAACCCCCCCCCCACGTTGTTTTAAAGTGGAGACTATAGCCAAGTGATTGCCGTAGTGGGACACCAGGAATCAGACCAAAGAGTCGTACTTCCGGGAACTTCCAGGAGAGTTTAGGGCGATCTGGTCACCGGGGCATCTTCTGTCACAGGGTGAATGGGAGAAGCCACCTGCCCAGGATCACTGACATACCGTCTGTGCCCCGTTTTAGCACCGTACCAGCATGAGCTCCCCCGCCCCCCCCAGGGAAATCATTTTCCCATTAAGCAGCACCAGCTCCAAAAGGGGGGGTCCATTCGTCATGCGGCAAACAAGGAAGGATTTGCTGGAGGCCCTATAAATGGCTGAGGTGTGCGAGAGCTAGAACAGAACCCCCCCCCCCCCCC